ATGAGAGTGGATGGATCCTGGTTTGGGCGATTCTGCTTGGGACGTCCTCAAAATCTGCTTGGTTTGGGGCCTGGCTTAGCCTGGTTTGGCCTGGTTGGGCGGCGCGCCCTGCATGAGATATCCTCGAAATGTGCCTGATTTGGCCTCTGGTTTGGCCTGGTTTGGGCCCGTTTCGCTTGAGACGTCCTCGCGCCTGGTTTGGCCTGGTTTGGGCCCGGTTTCGCTTGAGACGTCCTCACAATTTGCCTGGTTTGGCCGTGGTTTGGCTTGGTTTGGGCCCGGTTTCGCTTGAGACGTCCTGCCCGGTTTCGCTTGAGACGTCTTCGCAATTTGCCTGGTTTGGCCCTGGTTTGGCCTGGTTTGGGCCCGTTTCGCTTGAGACGTCCTCACAGTTTGCCTGGTTTGGCCTGGTTTGGCCTGGTTTGGGCCCGGTTTCGCTTGAGACGTCCTCACAATTTGCTTGGTTAGTGTTCGTATGCGCGCACTTTCGCCGGATACGTCCTCACACCGCGGATGGTCTGGCATATTCGGGGGCGCGCTTCGCTCGGATGTCCTCCTGGTTTGGGGCAGCTTCGGCACGGCTTTGGACAAACGTTCCTGGTTCGACCTGGCATCTTGCGTGCGTATCTGGAGACATATCTGCAATTTGTTCGGTATCGGGCGTGGGCATGCCCAGACACCCAACACATACTCATTGGTTTTCTGAAACATATTGGTTTTCCAATAGGAAGTGGGGTAGATCAGGCGACCCAAGCACAAGTAGCCCAAACGGGCGGTTCCTTTTCAAAAATGTGCGTGTTTGGGGGTGACAGCAGTATGTCCCCCCAAGGGGTCCCCCCCCTGAAGGGAGGGGGCGGTGTCTCCCCCCAGCACGTCTCCCCTCCCGAAACGAGATCAGCGCCGCACCGGGGGCCTCTCCTTGCTAAAGGGAGAGGTGGTCGGCCAGACCGAGGCACTGGCCAGCAGTGAGGCGAGAACCAGGGAGTGGCCGGCATTCGGGCGAGAGCGCACGTGAACGTCCTAGCCGCCATCGTCGTCGTCGTCGTCGTCGTCGTCGTCGTCGTCGTCGTCGTGGTCCTGGTCGTGGTCCTGGTCGTGGTCGTGGTCGTGGTCGTGGTCGTGGTCGTCGTGGCCGTCGTCGTCGTGGTCGTGGTCGTCGTGGTCGTCGTAGTCGTCGTGGTGGTCATGGTGGTCGTGGTGGTCGTGGCGGTCGTGGTGATGGTGATAATGATGGTGATGGTAATGGTGATGGTGATGGTGGTGGTGGTGGTGGTGGTGGTCGTCGTCGTTGTCGTCGTCGTTGTGGTCGTGGTCGTGGTCGTGGTCGTGGTCGTGATCGTGGTCGTCGTGGCCGTCGTCGTCGTGGTCGTGGTCGTCGTGGTCGTCGTGGTCGTCGTGGTGGTCATGGTGGTCGTGGTGGTCGTGGCGGTTTTGGTGATGGTGATAGTGATGGTGATGGTAATGGTGATGGTGATGGTGATGGTGTTGGTGGTGGTGGTGGTAGTCTTCGTCGTCGTCGTCTTCGTCTTCGTCTTCGTCGTCGTCGTCGTCGTCGGGTGCTTTGGGCGCTCCGATACACATTGAGTTAGTTATGTCACGTGATGTATGGGACTGAAAGAACAATGAATTCACACACGTGGTGGGCATCATTACACTTGTGACGTGATGCCCCCTGGGGGGTCCCAAGACACATTGGGATGTGCCGAATGGTATACGTCACGTAGCACAGCCACCACTGACATAATGCCTGCTGGTACCCGGCGTTCGGCCACGTGGCGGCGTCAGGAGAAACCTTTCCCAGCCTGATCAGGCTCGGAAGCATTTCTCTTGACGCCACAACGGGCCCCAACAACAACAACAACAACCGAAAGACGAATGAGACCTTCTGCGCCCAACCCTGTCCGCGTCAGCGGGCGCGCGATCCAAAGGCCCCCCCCATAAAATTCTAAAAGGCTTCCGCCCGCGGGGGGGGGCCCAGGGGGTGATTCACTCCTGTAGTGAGAATCTTATTAATGAGAGTGGATGGATCCTGGTTTGGGCGATTCTGCTTGGGACGTCCTCAAAATCTGCTTGGTTTGGGGCCTGGTTTGGCCTGGTTTGGCTTGGTTTGACCTGGTTGGGCGGCGCGCCCCGCCTGAGACATCCTCGAAATTTGCCTGATTTGGGTTCTGGTTTGGCCTGGTTTGGGCCCGTTTCGCTCGAGATGTCCTTACAATTTGCCTGGTTTGGCCCGGTTTGGGCCCAGTTTCGCTTGAGACGTCCTCGCAATTTGCCTGGTTTGGCCCTGGTTTGGCCTGGTTTGGGCCCGGTTTCGCTTGAGACGTATTTGCCTGGTTTGGCCTGGTTTGGGCCCGGTTTCGCTTGAGACGTCCTTGCAATTTGCCTGGTTTGGCCCTGGTTTGGCCTGGTTTGGGCCCTGTTTCCGCTTGAGACGTATTTGCCAGGTTTGGCCTGGTTTGGGCCCGGTTTCGCTTGAGACGTCCTCGCAATTTGCCTGGTTTGGCCCTGGTCTGGCCTGCTTTGGGTCCGTTTCCCTTGAGACGTCCTCACAGTTTGCCTGGTTTGGCCTGGTTTGGGCTCGTTTCGCTTGAGACGTCCTCACAATTTGCCTGGTTTGGCCTGGTTTGGGCCCGGTTTCGCTTGAGACGTCCTCACAATTTGCCTGGTTTGGCCTGGTCTGGGCCCGGTTTCGCTTGCGACGTCCTCGCACTTTGCTTGGTTAGTGTTCGTATGCGCGCACTTTCGCCGGATACGTCTTCACACCGCGGATGGTCTGGCATATTCGGGGGCGCGCTTCGCTCGGATGTCCTCATGGTTTGGGGCAGCTTCGGCACGGCTTTGGACAACCGTTCCTGGTTCGACCTGGCATCTTGCGCGCGTATCTGGAGACATATCTGCAATTTGTTCGGTATCGGGCGTGGGCATGCCCAGACTCCACCCTACACATACTCATTGGTTTTCTGAAACATATAGGTTTTCCAATAAGAAGTGGGGTCGATCAGGCGACCCAAGCACAAGTAGCCCAAACGGGCGGTTCCTTTTCAAAAATGTGTGTGTTTGGGGGTGACAGCAGTATGTCCCCCCAAGGGGTCCCCCCCCTGAAGGGAGGGGGCGGTGTCTCCCCCCGGCACGTCTCCCCTCCCGAAGGGGGATCAGCGCCGCACCGGGGGCCTCTCCTTGCTAAAGGGAGAGGTGGTCGGCCAGACCGAGGCACTGGCCAGCAGTGAGGCGAGAACCAGGGAGTGGCCGGCATTCGGGCGAGAGCGCACGTGAACGTCCTAGCCGCCATCGTCGTCGTCGTCGTTGTTGTCGTCGTCGTCGTCGTCATCGTCGTCGTCGTCGTCGTCGTCGTCGTGGTCCTGGTCGTGGTCGTGGTCGTGGTCGTGGTCGTGGTCGTGGTCGTGGTCGTCGTGGTTTTGGTCGTCGTGGTCGTCGTGGTGGTCATGGTGGTCGTGGTGGTCGTGGCGGTCGTGGTGATGGTGATAGTGATGGTGATGGTAATGGTGATGGTGATGGTGATGGTGGTGGTGGTGGTGGTCGTCGTCGTCGTCGTCGTTGTGGTCCTGGTCGTGGTCGTGGTCGTGGTCTTGATCGTGGTCGTCGTGGCCGTCGTCGTCGTGGTCGTGGTCGTCGTGGTCGTCGTGGTCATCGTGGTGGTCATGGTGGTCGTAGTGGTCGTGGCGGTCGTGGTGATGGCGATAGTGATGGTGATGGTAATGGTGATGGTGATGGTGATGGTGGTGGTGGTGGTGGTAGTCTTCGTCGTCGTCGTCTTCGTCGTCGTCGTCGTCGGGTGCTTTGGGCGCTCCGATACACATTGAGTTCGTTATGTCACGTGATGTATGGAACTGAAAGAAAAGTTATTTCACACACGTGGTGGGCATCATTACACTTGTGACGTGATGCCCCCTGGGGGGTCCCAAGACACATTGGGATGTGTCGAATGGTATACGTCACGTAGCACAGCCACCACTGACAGAATGCCTGCTGGTACCCGGCGTTCGGCCACGTGGCGGCGTCAAGAGAATCTTTCCCAGCCTGTAGTTTCTTGTCTCATGTGCGCGTACACCGACCTCGCAGACCTATCCTTCCTCTTATTCTTTTGATCATCGCAACTTTAAATTTGCCTCGCGAATTGTATTCTCCGAGCGAGCCAGATTCCAGTTGCCACAGCCTCGCGAAGTTCTTTTTATAGACGCCTGAGTGGTTGTCCGCAGCGAGGGCCGTTGCTTCGTTCTGTGTACAGGGCTGTTTTGGAGTCATCTTGAGGCCGGTGAGGTCGCGTCGGGTCGCGGGACCCCCTTGGGGGAGGTTCGATCATGGGGCCGTCTTGGGGTGACGAGACCCAGGAAGTAGGGTTCATAATCGACGATCCAGGGTCAAGGATGCAGGGTCGATGGCCCACCCATGATCGACGGAGGACCAAGGAAACAATATCGATCGGAAACGAATCTCTGGGTTCAATGCCGATCAAAGTTCGACAACCAAGCGAAGGTCGAGGATCGAGGATCCAGTGTCGTTCGAAGATCGACGAGCCAGGATCGAGCAGCAACGATCAACGATCCATCGAAAGTCGACGTTACATGGTCGATCGAGGAGCGAAGAGCGAATTTCGAGGACCAAGGATGCAGGCTTGATTGTAAACCCAGGCTCTGGGATGCAGGATCGATCCAAGATCGATGATAGAGGCTCGATCGAAGATCGAGGATGGAGGATCGAGGACCTGGGATACTTTGAAGGGATGGCCAGTCGAACAGCGACGATTGACGATTCAGGATCCGTGTTCGATCGAAGATCGAAGCTCGAATGCGACGATCGAGGACGCGATCATGTCTGTATTTGTCTGATCTACATTTTTTATTCAGGGGGTGGTAGTATCCTTATCAATGCTGCCATTCGTGTTTTCATTCGTATGGTTATGCCCATTCTCCATGTGTCTCGTGGTTGCATCTACGTGTCGCCGCAGAGTTCCTGCATCCACTCGTCCTTTTTCCTGTCAGGTTCTTTGTGTTTGCCTGGCACGCGAAGAACCGCGAGTGGACAGAGGTGGTCCAGCGCGAGGCGCCGAGCCCGTCCTGCACTTCGGCTTTCTTTTGCCACCCTGCTCAGCGTACGGATGCCGCGCTGCACTGTCTTGCCAGCAGCAGCCACCGTCAGATGGGCTCCGCATCCAGTGTGCTCAGCACAGCACGCGCGCGAGCGCTAGGGTGCCGGATTTTCTCTGGCCAGGCGCATCGTCAAAGCGTTGTTGCCGCAGGATCTCCCGAGAGATCGACGCCAGGTTGAGGAGGGTTACCTGTCTACCCTTGCCTTGTGTGGCCTGCCCGTCCATACTGCTGTCCCTGGTTCCCCGTCCCTACGTCCCTCCGTCCTTCCCGATCCTCGCCCGCACGCCCACACATCGCTGCCTTCATCTATCGTCGCACCACTTCATCGCTACGTTGTTCTGCCTCCGTCCGTTTCCGCGGTTTGATCCTCGAGTCATGATGCCCTGGTTTCCGTACCTGCCGTGCATCCGTCCCGACGGCTAGGAGAGCGCGGGGTGGGGAGGCCTTCATGGAGGAGGGGGAGGAGGACGAGATGGAGGATCGCAGGATTATGAGGGGGATGATGATGGGGAGGGCGAGGGGTCCTCCTCTCTCTTCTCCCTCCTCTTTCGTCCCCCTTCCTTTTTTCCGCTTCCCTCCTCTTCCTCCTCCCCCTTCTCCCTTCCCTTCCCTCCTCCTGCTCCTTTTTCCTTTTCGCTCTTGCCCTCTCCCTCTCTCCCCCTCTCCCCCTCCATCCCTCCTCCCCTCGACGCCCTCCACGCCTCCATCCCACACCTCCACCCCTCCGCGCCCGCAACCCTCCAGACCTCCACAGCTCCACCTCTCCACCTGCTCCCCTCTGCCCTTGCTCCTCCCCCACCCCCTGCGCGCGGGAGGTCCCGAACCTGTATTCTGTTACCGCGTTGGCCTGGAGAGCCGACGGCTCCAGGCTCATCGTGGGCTCGCTGTGCGGCGGCGTCGACATGTTCGATGTGTGCATCCGCCGATCCCGCTACCGCGGCACGCACGAGTTCACGTACATATCGTTGAGCCAGGTGATCGTGAAGAGCCTCGCGACCGGCGCCCGCATCGTGCTCAAGAGCAATGTGGGGTTTGAGATAAAGAAGATCAACATTTACCAGGAGCGCTTCCTCGTCGCCCACACCCCAGAGAGCATGCTGCTAGGCGAGCAATGTGATGATAAGCGCACTGCACTGTGCACTGTCCTGGCACATGCGTAGGCGTTCTTAGGCATTTCCTGAAGTAGGAAATGCCTTCAGGCTTCTCTGCGCTACTGGCAAGGGCCCCGTTACGGTTTCCGGGTTCTCGCAACCGTTACCCGCGCGGTGCCGTGTGGTACCGTGTCGAACCCGTTGTTCGCTCGATGTCGTGCGTTGCTCTGTGGTGCCGTGTGTTTCAGAGTCGAAGCCGTTGCCCGTGTGCCGTGTGCTGCCGTGTGGCGCCGAGCTGATCCTGTTGCCGGCAAGAGGTGCCGTGTCGGTTCGGTTGGCCGTGCGGTGCTGTGTAGTCCCACGCTGGCTGCAGGGTGGTGCCGTGCGGCTGAGCTCTGATCCATTTGGGAACCGCCGGGGGGGCTGTGGTGGCCCAGCATGTCGGAACGACCGACATGGGTACGGAAAGAAAGGGTACAAAGAGCGACATAATTACATTTTGAACAGGGCTCGCTGACGGTGTCGCTGCCATCGGCCGCGAACGTTATCCATTTGAGACAGAAGGCTGCTTGCCCAACTGCGGCCGCTGTGGGTTTAGGAGCACGTGTGTTGTTGGACATCGTACCCATTTTTTTCAGTACCCATGTCGTGCGTCCAAAGCATGGGTTCCGGCCAGCAGAAGGGGGGAGAAAGGGGCCCTCTCGTCGCCACTGCTCGACGCGTCTCGAAGAAGCGGTTGGTTTCGACCCCAGGAAGGTCCGAGGGCCGATTTTGAGCGGAATCGCCTTCGCTTCCCCTCTCGACCGATTTTCTCGGGGTCCATCTAGTGCAGACTCCCCGGCTGCTTCCGAGATCCATTGGCCATTTGGGCCGTTCGAGAGAGGGCCTCGCCTCCGGCGAATCCCGCCTTGGACGGGATTCGTCGGAATGCCGGCAGAAGCCAGCGGAAGTAGAACGGCGGCGGGTCCGCCAGCGGAAGTTGGCGGAAGGTCGGCGGAGGACGGCTGGAGTAGAAGTGGGCGCCCCGCGACCATTTTGCAGTGGTTTCTGACAGGGGCGGCGGGGGTGCCAGCATGTTGCTTGCTGCGCGCAGGCCAACACCCCCCCACCATCCCTGCACAAACATTACAATGTGCACTCTGCACCAAAATCTGGATCATGCGCGGATGCCCCGCGGTCAGGGGCGGCGGGTGGGGGCAGCATATCGCTTGTTGCGTGCAATGCCAACACCCCCTAACCACCCCTTGGACAACACAATGCAACATGCACTTTGCACTTTCTCGGCAGGGTGTGATTGTGGCTTGCGTTTTCCGAGTTGTCTCAGCTTCCAGTTGTCGATTACTTGAGCCTCAAGGAGGCTGATCTTATTGATGTCTCAATCGCTTGATAGCGCTTACCCCAGATCAGTAATTGCAGCCTTCAACATGTCTGACGGAGATGGAATCAGGGCAGTGTCTAGCATCGTTGTTTCGATTACCCAGACGCAGGTGATCTACAGACTTGCAGGTTGTCAGAGATCCCGTGGCACTCCACTGGCAACGAGAAGATCTTCTTTGAGAATCCCACAGTCTGCATGATCTTCAAAGCTGGCGAGCTCTCATTAGTAGAGTATGGATGCAACGAGGTGCTCGCATGCTGCCGCACGGAGCACATGTCCCCCCATCTCATCAGTGTACGTATTGCCGCCCCCGAAGACATGCAGTATGCTCGGAGTGGCGCCGATATGAAGGTCATCGCATACCTTCTCGATCTCATGACCGTGCGGATCTGTGACATCACCACGAATCAGACACTGGCAACAGTTTCGCACGACAACCGCATTGATTGGCTCGAGCTCAATCCGAACACCGCGAACAAGTTGATCTTCCGCGACAAGAGGCGCCAGCTCTATCTTTTCGACATTGAGACCCAGCAGCGGACCACTCTACTGAACTACTGCAACTACGTGCAGTGGGCCCGGGGCTTTTCGATCCCGTGCAAAGTCAGCGCGGAGCTCTGACAGGAAGAGGAGGAGGAGTTTCAAGGGGAGTGGGGGAGGGACGAGGAGGTGGGTTGCCGAAAATAGGTGAAGGCGGTTTGGGGCATATCCGGCTGAGTCAGCGACTTGTTTGCATGTGCGGAGGAGCAGAAGCACGATGAGGAATGAGAGGGGCAAGGCCTTGTGCGTGCTCAGGGCCTCAGCCTGCATGATCCTGTGGTGTGCGCTGACTCGAATTGTCTTCAGGAGCGGCGATCCATGATCCTTCGACACCGTAGAAGTAGCCCAGCCAGATAGCGCACTGCCAAGGTCCCAGAGAGCGATGTCGTGGTGGCTCAGAATCGCGGACAGCTCTGCGTCTGGTATTCCATCAACGCACCTGATCGGGTCACGCTGCACGAGATCAAGGGTGACATTGAGGACATCGAGCGGGCCAACAGTCGCTGCCTCGGAGCACAGCTGCGTAGACTACATGTATATTTACACACATATATCTATGCATATATGCACATGCATCGACGTATGAATATATATATATATATATATATATATATATATATATGTGTGTATATACATATATATATATATATATATATATATTCCTTTTTCTATATGTTTATAACTCCGGGGGTGCGGACCCCCCTCCCCCGAAACGGGACCCCCCGGATCCGTGCCACGGGGGCGGCCGAAAATCCTTTCCAAGGCGTGCACGCAGGCGGGCGGCAGTGCCAAATCGGTCGGCGCAAGCCCACAGAGACACCCAAGGCAGCCCAGGATAGCACCCGGGTAGCCTTAAAGACCCTCCGCGAGAGCCCCAAGACCGTTCTCAAAGGGGGCCCGAGAGAACAAATCATTGAATTTCCATTGGTTTTTCAATGTTTTTAGCGTCCTCGCTTTTTCGGGTTTCCGACGCTCCCGGACCGCCCAAAAAGCTCCCAAATCCGCTCCAAGACAACCCAAGAAGCTCCCAGAGCGCGCTGAGAGCGCCCCAAGACGGTCCAAGACGCGCCCGAGATGGCCCACGAACGCTCCAAGACGGCCCAAAAAGGGGCCCTAGGGGGGGACCACGATCTGAAAATACGAGCCTCCCGCCCCGAGAATGCCCAAGGAGGCCCCAAGAGAGCTCCACAGGGCCTCGGGAAGCCCCCTAAGACGTTTCGGTGAGGCTCCCAAAACAATCCAAATTGTTACTTTGCCATTGGTTTTTCAATGTTTTCAGCGTCCTCGCTTTTTCGGGTGTCCGACGCTCCAAGACCGCCCAAGAAGCTCCCCAAACCGCCCCACAACGGCCCAAGAGGCTCCCAGAGCGCTCTGAGAAAGCCCCAAAACGGCCCAAAACGCGTCCGAGATGGCCCACGAACGTTCCAAGACGGCCCAAAGAGGAGCCCTAGGGGGGACCACGATCTGAAAATACGAGCCTCCCGCCCCGAAAGAGCCCAAGGAAGCCCCAAGAGAGCTCCAAAGGGCCTCGGGAGGTCCACTAAGACGTTTCGGTGAGGCTCCAAAAGCATGCAAGCATGTTACTCTCCCATTAGTTTTTCAATGTTTTCAGCGTCCTCGCTTTTTCGGGTTTCCCACGTTCCAAGACCGCCCAAGAAGCCCCCCAAACCGCTCCACAACGGCCCAAGGGGCTCCCACAGCGTCCTGAAAAGCCCCAAGACGGTCCAAGACGCGCCCGAAGACGGTCCAAGACGGCCCACGAACGCTCCGAGACGGCCCAAAGAAGGGCCCCAGGGAGGACCAGATAACTGAAAATACGAGTCTCCCGCCCCGAAATGGCCCAAGGAGGCCCCAAGAGAGCTCCAAAGAGCTTCGGGAGGCTCCCTGGGAAGCTCCGGCGAAGCACCAGAAAGCTTCCAAATCGTTAATTTTCCATTGGCTTAAGCGGAGGAGGAGAAGGAGTAGGAGGAGGAGGAGGAGGAGGAGGAGGAGGAGGAGGAGGGGAAGAAGGCAGAGAAAGAAGGAGAACGAGAAGGAGGAAGAGGATGAGGAGGAGAATGAGGAGGAGGCGGAGGAGGAGGTGGAGGAGGGGAAGGAGGAGGAGGAGGAGGAGGAGGAAGAGGCCACAATCCCGAGTTCGCAACCATCCGCCGCCCCGTGCCCCGCGGCTAAAATGGAAAAAAAAGATGGCACCACGGGCCAACCATTCCAAAGCTTCAAGGAACAAGGTGCATGGCGCGAAGCGCCAATGCAGCCTTGTGTCTATATATATATGTGTGTGCAGGGAGAAAGAGAAATAGAAAGAGAGAGAGAGAGAGAGATGCACCCGCCCGCTGTACACAAAGCATGGTTTTGGGATCAGTGGAGAAGCCAAGCTAGTCGTCGTGTAGGGGCGCAGCGGAAATGGGGTACCCCGTGACGCCAGCTCCATGAGAAAGTGGCCGGTGCATGATAAAGGTCGTTCTCTGACTATGTCTTCGGCTACACGTCAAAGTGACCCTTTGCTGGAGTGATCTTTGGTGCGCGGCTTTCTGAGGCGCGTGGGTGCCGAGTCCAAGCAGGCAGGCCGCTGCTGTCGCGTCGCGTGGAACGGTCGGCAGGCCGCGCTCCAGGGGTCACCCTTGCCCAGGGCCCCTCCCTGTCTGGGCGTGCAGGCGATCGCCTTCGTGCTCTTTTCTGCTGTTTTCGTCCAGCCTCTCTGTGACAACGCGCAGCCCGTTCAGGCCTTCCCGCGCGGAGCGAGAGCCCGCGCTGCGACAGACAGAGTTTTCCTCGGGTGGGGCTCTGGTCGTGATTTTTAGCAATGTCCCAATGGCTTTGCGAAGTCGGACCTCAAGGTCGGAGTGGAGGCGCCTCCTGACGGCACGTCGTGCCCTTCTCCCCTCGATCCTCGCCCGTCTTTGGGGCCTCCCGCGGTCAGACGGGGCTAGGACGAGGATAAATCCGTTCCAGGGCGTCTCGGAGCGTTCCGGAATGCTCTGAGAAGGCCGCGGCGCCCGATACATCCAGCAGAGCCGCCGGACCTCAGAGATTCTCGAAGTGTCCTGACCCGAATGTGTCCTCGTCCTGGCTTCGCTTCGTTTCCTCCACCCACAGAGTCCTCAGAGAGGAGCGATGCCCGGCGAGCCGCAGGCCGCCCAGCCTCGGCAGCCCTGCCCCGGAGAAGGCGTGCGCAGCGAGCCGGCCGCGGGCGCGGGGGCCCCCTCCCAGGCTTTTTGCCGCCACCTGCGGACCCTGCCCCCCCGTGGGTCGAACCAGCGGTGGGGTGTTGTGCACAAGCAGTGCGCAGACAACCCGTCAGTTTGCACAACCGACGTTCAGTTCGCACAAGCAATGCACACAGAACCCCTTTGCTCAGCACAACATGCACCCAAGAAGCACAAGCAAATGCACAAGCAGTGTACAAGCAATGCGCAGACAACCGTTTAGTTAGCATAATTAATTCCAAGCTGGCCTGCAAGCAGATGCCTCACGGAAGTTCCTCATCCATCGATGGCCCAGGGGGCTCGCAGAAGCCCCGGGGCATCTCAGGAAGCTCAATGCGGCCCTAGATCTCTTGTGGCAAGTCTTCTTATCGTATGTGCCTCCTGCTGAAGGAACTTGGCTGCAGATATCCTTCGAGCTCGGAGCCTCTGCCGATGCTTCAGGAATCTGACCTGCAGGGGTCAGGGTCCAGTCTACATGAGGTTGCCGACAGGCCCGATCCTGGGCTGCCCCCCGTCGGGCCGCCCCCCTACCGATGGCTGGCGGCGTGTGGCCAGCGCCTTCCTGCCCCATACCCCGGACAGCGCCGACCGTCGGCGCTGTCCGGGGCCAGTCAGCCCCCTCTGACCTCCCTCTGGCTGGTCTGGTTTCCCGAGCAGAGCGCCCAAGCCAGGGGGGAGGAGACGACGACACGACCTCAAAAAAGAGGAGAGGGGGGAGGGACGGAAGGCACGTGACCCCAAACTGTTGCTGGGGGGGCTGCTTATTCTATTGTTTTATTTCCATGCTCCCCCCTCCCGCTCGGCTCACTTCTCGGTCTGTCCGAGAGATGTCCCATGTACTGTCGCATCTATATGTACTTTGATACCCTGTTCAAGTATCCCACCGATCCCCCTCGAAGTTTATTTGGGGTAGAGCATACTTGTAGGCACGGTACATGGTAGGGCCATCGAGGAGCACACTGGTGGGCTTCCTGATGATCATTGTTTCTCCTTCGACGCCCTGCAGTAATGTACTTGTCGGTGCTCCCCCAAAATACTTCCCATTGCGATGGCGGTGCGAGCGCTCCGTGATGCCCATCCTGTATGCCCTGAGTTGCATTCCGAAAGACCTCTCTAATGCTTCTCATGGCTGCCTGTGGGCACGCACGTCCAGCTTGCAGCTTGCCCAGAGTAGCACTCCGAGAAAACTTCGCTAATGTTTTTCTTGGTATAATACCAGCAGGCTCTAGTGGGTGCACTCACTGGTGGCCGCTGGAGGAGCTGGCCGCAGTCGTTTCGTCCGAGTTGGGGTAGCCGAACTTTGCCGCGAAAATCTCGGTGCCATCCAGCAAGGTCTGCGTGCTGTCTCCTAGCTTCTGGCGCTCCTTCAGCCTCTTAACTTCCTCTGGGTCGAGATTACCCTCGTTGTTCAGCTCCTTCATTGCGACCTTCATGACTTGTTGGAGGTTCTCTTCGTCGTGCTTTGATATCTTCAGCGCCAGCTCACACCAGCTCTGTACAGTAAAGGCCTTCCTCCCAGCTCTTTCCCATGCGTCCACAGGGTACCTTGCGATGAGGTCGTAACCTTCGATCTTCTGCGTCATCGGGAAGGACACGGGGATCAGCTCGAAACGCTCCTCTAGGCTCATCTTCTGGGCAGCGTCAAAGAACTGGTAGTCGCATTCCTTGATGGCGTCGTCTAGCTGCTGCGGTAGCCTTTCAGCTGACAGCTCTTCCCATGTGCTTCACTTTCAGCTAAGAAGAGCTCCACCACCATTGACGGCAGGAGGAAGAGGAGGAGGAGGAGGAGGACGAGGAGGAGGAGGAGGAGGAGGAGGAGGAGGAGGAAGAGGAGGGGTCCACGCCGACTCCAGGATCCCGACGGCATGCTCCCTCGGCCAACAAGTCACGTCGTTTCTGCTGACAGGCTCGTGTTGTTGCACGTCGCAGTTTGGCCGCTCTCTGCCCGAACTGAAATCTGCACCACAGTGCTGCAGTGAACTGTGTTCCGAATACATCTGTGGCACAGTGTCGAGGCGTATGTGCGTGCGTGATTGTCGACGAGGTCGCGCGGGGGGGCACCGAGGTCGCACGTGCGTGATTGTCGACGAAGGGGTCAACATGGTCGAGTATGAGCTCGACGAGGGCCTCATCTCCTTCGGCTCCTGCCTGGAGCGGGAGCAGTACGCCAAGGAGAGCAGACGTAGTAGGGAGGGGGGAGGCGTCAAGGGGTCCCCCTCCCCCTTCTCCCTCGCTGCCCCCCTCCACATTCCTCTCCCTATCCCTTTGCGGGCGTGCGTGTGCGTACGTGCGTGCGTGCGTGCGTGCGTGTGTGCGTGCGTGTGTGCGTGCGTGCTTGCGCGTGTGTGTGTGTGTGTGTGTGTGTGTGTGTGTGTGTGTGTGAATGTGTGAATGTGTGTCTGTTAGTTAGTTAGTTAGTTAGTTAGTTAGTTTGTTTGTGTGTGTGTGTGTGTTTGTATCCGTTGCCTTTGGCTCAAGCCTTTGGCTCAAGGCCGTCTGGGGTGCCCCTTCTCTGACGGGCTCCTGTCCTAGGCTGGGCTCCCCTCTGGGCCGCGCGCGCGCCTGGGCCTGCCTCCCTGGGGGGGGCTGTGCCCGTGCCGCGGTCGGTCTTAGCTGTCGGTAGGGGCCGCCTCTGGGGGCTGCATAGTCTGTCGACTATGGACCCCCCCGTGTGTGGCGGTGGAAATTCGCTCTCGGGACGGGCCTTTGAGGAAGGCCCGTGGAGGAGAGCCCACCAACGGTTCCAGCCTGCAGGTCCCCTCCCCCGAGCCAACTCGTGCTCGGGGAGCGGACCCCTCGGTGGCCCCGTCACCTGAGGGGCCCTTTGCGGCCGGCCACCTATGACCTGTGTCAGAGATGCGGCGCCCTCGAGCGCGCCTCCGGGGTCTCGCTGGTCGACCTGGCCGTCGGTCTCCTTGGTGGTGCTGTCCGCCATGCTCTCGTCTTGGGCGAGACTCTGAGACAAGCGCAAGAGAGAGAGAGAGAGAGAGAGAGAGAGCGCGCCAGCTGTCATCCCGAATGGGGCCATCACCGCCGTTTAATCCACGGCCCCGCGCGGTCATTTCAGGTCCTGGCTTCAGGCGCGTGGTTGGAGCGGCCAGCTCCTCACTCGCGGCGCTGCGCGAGAGTGGTTCGGCCGATGGCGGGCGGAGGCTGCCTAGGAAGCAGCCGCTGCGCACAGCGGGGCTCAGGCGCCGAGAGGCCTCAGCTCCATGCCACGCACCACGTTGGGCGCGAACTGTTAGGAAAACCGTTGCGTTTCGAGGCGTCCGAGCGTCCGAGCTCCCCGTGGCAGCTGGCAGTCGAAGCCCGCCGACGTTGAGGAGGTGCTAAGGCAGAGCCGTGCCGACATCTGGGCTCGGCTCCCGATTGGCCTGTGGCTGGACCTCGACTCCCCGACGATTGTTTCCAGACGTGGCAGCTCCCCGCCATCCCGCCCGCGCCGCGACCAGACTGGCGACGGATTGCCGCGCTGGTCCTCCAACCCGCAACCAGCGCTCGCAGCTTCGATGGCGAGCCTTACGAAGCTCATCGCGTCGGCTGCTGCTTCGTCGCGCGCCTGCTCGGGCAGGCGGTCCTTGCGGCGGCAGCGGCCCCGCGCCCCATCGACGCCGACCTTCTGTGGATCCCCAAATCCCTGCCGCCGAGAAAGCTAGGGACCTCGGGCCGCTGCAGCTCTCCACAAACTCTTCGGGTCCGTCGTCGCTGATCGAGTTTGTCGGCCCCGTCTTCGAGGCCAGCCTCGCAGAGGACCAGGCTGTTTTCAGGAGAGGCCGCTGTGGCCCCGACGTCACCAGCGCCACTGCCCACCTGTCTGCCTCGCCAGGGCCCCCCCTCGCATCCGGGGCCTGCGTGGGGGGCCCTCCTCGGCCCGATCTCCCCTGCGTCGAAGACTACGTGCGCCGCGCCGCATCTCGTCTCTTGCCCGCCCCACCCGGCGCCATTCTCTTCGCCGATCAGAGACAGGTTTTCGAGGGGCTTGCCGCTCAATGGCTCGACGACGCGCTCCAGAAATGGGCGCTTCCCAGCGGTGCCGCAGCCGGCTGATGGCCGTAGTGGCAAGCCGCCGTGTCCAGTCCATCAGTGAGGGCCACCAAACTCCTCTCTGCAAGCTTCTGCGGCCAGTCGGCATGGGGGGCGCAGCTTCACCCCTGTGCTGAAATCTCGGGTGCGAACCAGTCATCTACGGCGCTGCCTCGACGCTGATTCCCCCGGCCCTACGTAAGTCGGCGATATCGCGGCTCTCTTCTCCGACGCGGCTCAGGCGCTTCGCGTTTCGATCGTCCTCCCATGGGCCTCGCGAGCAGCGGGTCTCAGCATCGCCGCCCACGCCTGCCGCGGGCTCCTCTACGACCGTCCCGCCGTTGCCCACTGCGCGGCGGTCGCGCAACTCCCGCTCGCGCTGGAGGTGGGCGACTGCGGGCGCGCCGTCGTTGCTGGCCTGGCCCCCCCAGCTGGCGCTCGCCCTTCTGACCGCCAGGGTCGGGCAGGCCGCGGTGCGAGGCGTCGCAATCTTCGAGTGCCAGTGCCACTGCGCGTTCAAGACTGCCCCAGTCTTTGCGAGTGACCACGGCTGGTGGAGGGCTGTCATGGGCGCCTCGCATTTCGGCTCCATTGAGTCCGTGTCCCCTGGCTTTTCCTTGGCACCGCGCGCACCTCCACCAGCGGGCCAGGTGGCGCGATGGAGGGTAGATGGAGGCTGTGCGAGACGACGCACGGGTGCAGGTCGCGCGCGCACCATCTGCGTTGCGCGGGGCTCCGCTGGGCAAGTCGCGGCCAGCTGGAACCTGGCTTTGTCTTGTGCCAACTACGTCATGTTGAGCGACCGGCAAGAAGTCCTTGTCCGTTCCCATCTCCGCGAAGCCCTGGGCGTGGCGGACGCCCGATGCGTCCGCCTCGGTCTCCTCTTAGGACTTGGCTCGTGCTTTGGCGTCCGTGGAGCGCCTATGTGCCTCGTCGCGAGCTCGCGGGCGGTTCCCGCTATGGGCTCATTGGGCTCTCGGCCACATCTGCGCCCTTCGGCTCCCCGAGCGCCCATGGGCCGCTGGCCCCTCGACCGCCGACCGCGCCGCGCTGCGCATCTGGCAGGCCGTCCATCAGCCTGATCTCCAGGCCAACAAGGGGGCCACCCATGGGGGGCGCGCTCTACGTCGCCGCCTGGGCCCAGCGCCATCTCTCCCACGCGACCGCCTGGCTGGGCAACCGCTCCGCCGCCCGCGCCCGCGCGCCCGGCGACGGAGGGGGGCGGGCGCTGCTCGCAGCAGTGGCCTCCTTCGCGGAGGCCCACCGCGCGTTCAAACTGCTTTGCAACGGGCCGCCCG